CCGAGACTCGTCACCCGTAACTCCACCTTCCACCTCCCACCTGACTCAGCCGCTCACGGGGAAACGTTCAGGGCTCCCTGCCGTGATCAGGTGTATCCGGGGAATTGTTTCGACGCACCCTTTCGCCGGCGACGCTGTTCTCGCCAAGGGACCGTCGCGTCGTCGGGGATTGGAATGTTGCAGCATCCGTCGTGGAGCAGGGTTTTGCGTCTCTGCCGTCCTCCGGTACCATGGAACTCCATTTATCCGAACTTGTCGGCAGACGTTTTATACAACTGGAGTTCGTATAATAGCAGTTCACCCATTTCCTTCGCTAGCTATCTGTTAGTTTTCGTTCATTAGGTAGGAGCTGGGCTTCGGTTAATTAGGCAGGCAAATTTCGTCCCAATAAATGGAATTCTACGATATCGCTTTCGTTGATGAGAGAGCTACTTTCTATGAAAGAGGTGGAACTCCGTTTGCACGAATTTGTTGAAAGTGGAGTTGATCTGGTAGACTCGTACGTAGAAGCGTCTGCGAGAAAGAGAATTTAGATGCATTTAGGTATTCGTCGATTGTCGTTGGTTTGGTTCGAAGATTTCAAGTATCCTTCGCGACGAGCTGTATAGGTCTGTTTAAAATCAATCGGTTGTCCAGGGACGTTGAGGAGCAAAGGGTTACGTCTGACGTCAATTAGAGTCACGGAAGCGGCTTTGAATAGGCAATTAATTTCGGATATCTATGTATAGAACCTTTGTAACCGAGCAATACCAACGTAGCTCGGTATACCTACGTAATTATGTTAGTAGCTTGTAAAACGAACAGTGATCGGCGCTCTTTCTTACGTTCGAAGAACGGTGATTGTGCTGTTCGGAAGCCATATTGATCAACTCTATAAATAAACATTTAGGATTTACCATCATTTACATCATTTTCTTGGGATGACTGAACTCATGGAAGCAAGTCATTTATCTCCAGAGAATCGAATATCCACCGTGTACCTACTTATGCGAAGAAATAAAGAAATAAATAAAAACTACAGCTGCGTCAGTTTGGCTTCTGCGAGGTCGAATCACGCTATCGTGACCGATCGTTGGCCAAAAGTTCGATTTTCTGTCGGCGAAACTATGTTCGTGGACTGTTTCAGTGGGTCGTGCGGCAATTAACAGTCGTATTTCCTAAATACATCGTCGAATCGGTAAGGAGTTCAGGTACCAACGAATGACACTTGTAAATGGCCACGATAGCGCAGCAACGACAGGCTCGGATGGTTGCAAAGTGATACGCGCTGGTACCGGAACCCGCGAAATGAATAGTCCGCATAATTACACGCGGTTACCTCTGCTCCAGGTCGATATTTCCATCCGAGTTATCGGTGTCATCGGACACGAGGCATTTATCGCGGCGATTCGCGAACGTGTACGCGTAACGTTGTAACGCGTCGATGACAATCGATACGACATACATTTTACCTCGGTGTGCAATTCGACCATGACCTCGAAACAATTGTTCCATTCTTTCGATACGATCTATCGCCATCGCTGCGTCGCGTCGTTATTTGGTGTCGTTACAAAACATGGAAAAGAAGGTGACCAGCCGAGATCCTAACATTGACCTAGTCGTCGAACTATAGTAGTATAAATCCAATGGATAAATCATAATCGGACTGCTTTACTTACTTATCTACTATAATTAAGTTAACCACGTGTATGTTTGAAATCTTCCGTAATACGTTTCAAGTTGCTCCGATAGAATTCGAGACAACGTTTATATAATAGGATTTCGCTTCTAGATGAGTGGATTCAATCGGCAGAATTTCGTTTGATTGGACAGTGACTAAAATCTCGTTCGAGCAATGGAGTTTTACTGTAGCGTCACTTTCCATTTGCCTTCGATCGAGTACGTGGATTTAATTTTTGCGCTACTAGCTAGTTCTCCAAAAATGCCCACGCAGTCCGGAGAACATCGAGTAGCGTCGAAGAAATCGTCAGATATAATACAATTATTTTTCGATTGATTTTTTTGGAACATCAATAAACATAGGTATATAGTTTATTATTAATCAATTTCATTGGAATTATCCTGTATTACATAACGGTAGATTTTATCCGTAATGATCGATCAGTTGCTAATATTCTTGCTAATTCGATCACATCATTGGTACTCGCGTAAAACTTCAAGCAGGAAGAGAAAAAAAGTAGAATAAAATTGAGAAGCTGATCAATCGAAAACCGGTATGACGTGTTTCTCGATCTAGCTTGCTAGATTCGCCGTTTATGAATGAAAGAACCTTATAGGTTCCGCCTGTTTTCCTCTTTCTCTCCAGCGCAGGATATTTCGGGGTCGAGTGAGTAATAAGCCGATGATTAATTTTGTCATTCCCATTGAGCAACATCGATCGCGAGCCAGAGAGATTACCTGGCAGTGGTTTCTTCGCTCAAGGAAAACACGATCAGCGGCGCTTGTCGCTTTAAACAGAACTACATGTTATTTGAAAGATTATGGCAGGCGACGTATCTTCGTCATGAGTGAGTTTTGATACTTGCGGTTTACGTCAGTCCTGTCTCATCTTCGACAATGAGAATGCAGCTGCACCTGTACGCAGCTATAATCATGGTATTTGCACACTCGGTGACCTTGTAGGTATCCGTATCGCTCTACGGAGCCTTGAACTTGCACGCTAAAGAATCTGGTACGAACATGGAAGAAGATCGAGTCGATCCACTTGCTTCTCGTGTCTTCGTTCTCAACGAAACGCGGTTAGTTGCTAGATTTTCGATGTTTAACGATCATCCTTTTATAGATTACGTAATTCTATCAAAGTATCGTATGAGTTTCTCAGCAGCTAACATGACACCAGACATAGGATAACTGTGAAAAAATAACTGGCTTGCTTTCATAAATTTATTTAGAGTAAAAACACGACATAATTAACGACGAATTGCAAGACAAATTTCAAAAAAAATAACTTCTCCCTGTTATTCGATTTTCGAGTCGATCGACGTGTCTTCCGAGTGACGCGTATCGTTCTTTCGTATTTCTTTCTTACGTAATTTTTTCCTGCAGACAATGACATTAATCGACGATAAAAAGAACGATTTATATATGTCGCTACGGATGATCCATTGAATTTATCTTACTGGAACGGAAAAGTGATCGACTGGAGAAAATTCTAACATTATTGTTAATTATTCGCTGATGGAGAAAACAGCAGAAAGAAGAAACCTTCGGATGCACAACCCCCTCGCGTGTCTTAAAACCGACCGACATCACGCTCTTTTTACCGATAACCATTAACATGGCTCTCGAACGTGAAATTACACTGCGAGTTCAACCTTCTCGCAAGGTTAAGCGCAAAATCGTCTGACGGGCGGCGGGATTCTTCTACTTGTCCGGCGGTTGCATCGCTGCTGCTCGAAGGCGATTATCCGTAATGGCGTTTCAGCGAAGGCAACAATTGCCAAGACAAGCACGTTGATCACGCTTATCGTTCCTTAATTCCTATGAAATCTTGCGCGTTATGCAATCTAGTGCCGCCTTCTCGTCGACCGAGGAATTTTTTTCTTGCGCGTGGACGCGCTTGACCGAGACGAGCTTTTTAAGGTCAATGTCGAGGTGGATCGATCCAACATATCCAACATCCGATATTCGGCCTGGCTGATTTGATCGATCGAACACCGATTCGCATTAACATGCAGTGATACTTACGAGAAACAGGAAACCCGGTAACGAGGAAACTACCATCGCTGCGAGCTCATCTTATTACGCACGCACCACAATCTAGTCGATGTGCTCGTGCAACATCCTGATCGGAATCTTCGTTTCCACGTGTACATGGTATGGGATAAAATAAAGCCAACAAATGGTAGATATATTCGATATCGCGTGGTAATGAACGTTAGGGTGCTCGTACAATGTTAACGATGTTATTAAGCAATAATGTTAGTCGATGAAGAACAAGTTTAGGTTGTAGATTTCTACTACACAAACAGATCGTTGTACATAATTCGACAATGCTTTGTACAATTCATTTATAAATCTTCGTTTCGCTATCAATCCTCATTACTACGCGATAATTTATTTGCTAGGAGTACTAATGAATTAAGAATCGTAGGGATTGAGAAATGTAGGTTGTAGATTTCTGTTACACAAACATAATGTTACATAAACGTTGTAGCTTTAGAATCTTTAAACCTGCGTAATTTGTAAAATTCACTCGTAAATCTTCGTTTCATTAGCAAATTTGTTACCAATTTATTAATACATAACGTTTCACTCGTGATTTATGAAATTTCGCTAAAATATTAGTTCAAGCGTGTGACAGGTTCCAGATATATTTTCTGTTCGTTGCACTTGTGTTAGGTTTCTTTTTTCTTCTAACACGTAATCCTTAAATCACAACAATTGGTTCCACTTGGACGTCTGTTCGGATCAATTTTCACGATGATGGAACATCAAAGGTATGTAAGGCAATGTGAAAGATCCTTACGCAAAAACGGACGCTGTTCAAGGATCTAGTTTTATTGTTGGCGCGGGCATTTCTGTGCGAAAACACGCAGGGTTTCTTCTCGTCGCGTATATCCGCGCGAACCGATAATCAAGCGGCAACCTCGAACGCGAGTTGTTATTTTCGAATAGGAAGCGAGCGTTTCCGTGTGCATGGCGAGTACACGCGAGAAAGGAGACGCAAGAAAACCGAACGGGTCTGCGTACGAACAGAGAAAAAATCTGCTCGTCGCTATAAAAGCGCGAGCGTTATTTATTTTATTCTTGTTTTCTGGCTGGCGCCAGCTGATCGTCGTCATATGGGATCCGCGCAATTAAAGATTCAATTTCGCATGAAATTATAGTTATCCAGTCTGGGGAAAATGATGTGTTATTACAGGCCTGCTCGGTCTGTTCCGTTCTTCGTTCGCTGATGACTTCTTTCGATCCGCGAACATTTGTCACGGGCAAAAAGTCTTTGTAAAACAAAGTCTCAGTAAAACGCAATTGAAACCGTAACGCATAACGCGTACCACGTCTACGAGAAGTATTTCTGGAGACATCTTTAACAAGCGCAGGTAATAAAGAATTTTTTTGATTCGTTAGCGCGATACATATAAAGCATCAAATTTCCTCAAACGCAAACTTGCTAATGAACGAACCAAGATTAACGTCTTTTTTGCTCAAATGCAAATTTACGTTCAATTAGCAATTGATTTCGGTCACAGCGTATTGATACGAATCGGCGCCACATAGATTAACGATAGATTAACGAGTTCGAACGACTTTGTTAGAAAGGCAGAGCTTCGCTGGAGCGCAACAACGGTAACCGCATCAATCTTTACGTGCATAAATTAACTTTGCACGGGGATTGAATGCGATGCAGGTTGAAAGGAGATTCACCGTATGCAAATTGACGATCGATTGTCGGGACCGTGGGGTGAATTATACCCATGTTGGCCGACATTATGGCTAACAAAGGCAGGGCTGGCACCGCCATCATCCGAATGCTTTACGAGCCAATGTAATAATCAAACGATCCAGAAAGTCGCAGCTCGTGAGTATTCATCTCTGCCTACGTTCGAAAGTATTGAATCGGTTTTCTTCTATTCAGCTCGTATGCGAGTATACAACGTTCTATCGTTATTGTTCTAAGATTGATTCTAATCACGAGAACTTACGTCGATGCACGTCGTGGCAATTTACGTATTAGAATTTTATATCGCGTTACAAAATGCATCTAATCGATCTTGTTTGGAAAACGGAAATTCCTTTCAGGTTTATATCGACGGTAGCGTTATTACGACATATGACAAATTCTGATCAATGAACGTAATTCGTAATACATGTCGCAGCAAGGCCATGGATAGCCGCATCGCGCGAATGGCAATGCGACCAGCAAGATAAATAACAAAAGACGACGAAGGCGTCTTCAGTCTGGCAATTATATCGAAGCGAAAGGTGGATGGTTTTGATCAAACCTTGAACGTTCGTGCGAAGAGATTTTCTCGCGATGCGCGATGCTCATCGTGTAGCTACATACTCGGTTGCACAACCAGCCCGGAAACGCTTTATTGGTGGTTAATTGTTTGCATTGTTATCTGACGTCGACATAACGGTTATGGAAATTCCGCGGAAAAAAACGAAATTGCCTTTCTAAGTAAATCACGATCTCTCGCTTTAAACTATGTTTCATCCTGTTTCTAACGCTGACGAGATATAATAATGAAATATACGCTTGAATATAAAATTAAATATAAAACTCGTAGGAAAGATATCGGAGCGAAGGGCGTATGAAAAAATATATAAGGCAAGGAGAAGGATAAAGATTCATCCATATATTCTATGGAAAGGTATTAAAATCTTAAAAAATTCCCTGTTGGGAATCAAATTTTCATCCCGATATCAAATTTTTATAAAAAATAAAACGAATGAAACGCGTGACTGACTAAGTAGTTAACTGTTCGTTAATCTACGGACTACAGATATATATATTTGAAGCTTGTATTTATTTTTCTATTCACTTCCTTATGAAGTAAAAAGGATTTAATCTTTTATCGAAGCGAGCATCTCTTACGCATCCAATTTCATTATGACATTATAATTGCGAGATTCTTATGATTCACGGCGATGATAGGTTTCGCACGATTAATTTTACTTTCAAAGCGGCACTACACTCGGTTGGTTTAGCATTGCTACAGTGTTTACAATTTCTATTTTCGTGTTACGTAAGTGCATCGGAACAAACAGCTTTATCTGTCAGTGTGATTTTCCTTAAAAATATCTATAAAAAGGGGGAAAGAAAAATATGCAAGTATAAAGTAAAAACATACATTTTTAATTACTATATAAGTAACGCAGATATAATATATGCTTTTAATAGCTAAAGTTTCAGGTATGGGTACGGTTGTTTGAAGTTCAAAGTTTTGCAAATACGTAAAACCTTTTCGCGCCATTGAATTTATTTGTACCGATTATAGGTAGCGCTATTTCTAACTTCCTCGTTTGGTAATTTATACGCAATAGATAATATTGTAAATGACATTAAAATGTTAAAAAAATCCAGAGAACTTCATCGAGGCTTAAGATAAAAAGATATATTAGTTGATATATCTATTTTATATTTTGTCAATGTTTATATATTTTTGTGTACGGTACCTTTTTATATATTTTTTTATTACAGGTATCGGTCGATATCATCGAAGCGATTTCCGACTATAACTCCACGTTCTATGGGTAAGGTAGAATCGGTAAAGCGACTTGTTTCATTGGCAAGACTGCGATTTTACATTCGCCATTTTGTTAACGGTCGATATTTTTTGACGCGTGAGATTTTATTCATCTTAAGTTTTATTATCTAATTGCTTCTTATCAAAAGTTTAAAACTTCGGTACAAATAAACTTCTACAATTCGCAATTATAGGAAGTAAGATAGGAAAGCACTTCTTTTTACATTTTTCTTATTTCTTTTCTTTGTTTATAGTTTTATAGATTCTCTTCTATTCTCTCAGTTCATAAGATCTTCGCAAGAAAAGCGATTTTCAACTTGATCTTCGAATGAGCGAATACATTAGTTTAATACTGAATATGGCCACAAGGTGGCGGACGTTATTATGAGTTTGTCCTGGCTTGATATCTATTCTATATTTTGTCAAGGTTTATATATTTTTGTGGTTCTTTGTTAATTTGTTAACCTCAATCATTTCAAATATTTCTATAACGTGTGATCAAACGTTCAGTTTCTTAAATATTTTTCATCAAACACTCTCATCTTTGTGAACAAATACATTTTATCATTTCTATTCGATGTACGCTCCGTTTGACAATAAAAGTTTGTATATGGAGGATTCTAACCTATCACGAAACTTCCTGTACGCATGTCAGAGTGGAGACTTATCAAGAGTGGAAAAACTCGTATCGAAACACGACATTCAGGATTGGACACACTTCAGACACACGACTTCCGGTGACACTGCGTTACATCTTGCCACCCGCGAGGGTCATTTGAATATCGTTCGATACCTATGCGAGAATTTCAAGGGACCAGATTTTAGAGTGAACGTCGCCAGTAGAGATACGAAAAGACCGCTGCACGAAGCGGCGCAATTTGCTCGTAGCGATATACTCAAATATTTAATTGGAAAAGGTATTTATCTTTCGTTTGTGGCACTAATTTTATTTTATAATTATAAATATATCATTCGCAACGTTATTTTTGTTTGAAGGTGCAGATGTGGATGCCTTAAAACGCGCTGATTGGACACCGCTCATGCTGGCGTGTACAAAAACCGGAAGTGATGCCTATAAATGCATCGTAGCGCTTTTAGAGGCAAAAGCAAATCCGTTTTTGCGAAATAAAGATGGATGGACGTCGTTGCATCTAGTTTGTAGATCTGGCGATGAAAATGCTTTTGATTTGTTAGTAAATAAATTTGTCGAACGCATCGATGATCGAAGCAATAATGGTCGTAGTGTTATGCACATTGCTGGTAAGAATTCCTCCACAAAATATTTTTATATTATCAATGATATAGAAATGGCGTAGTGCATAATTAGTATAAATATTTATAACTATGGATTATGAACCTGTTAAATGTACAGCATTTCACGGTCATGAGGGTTTAGTCAATCGTCTTATGGCTCTTAATACGAAACTTTTGAACGCGCGTGATTTCTCGGGATCTACTCCTCTTCACGAAGCGGTTAAAGGAGGTCACGTATCCGTCGCAAAACGATTAATTAATTTGGGAGCCGATATCAAAGCTAAAGACAGCGCTAATCAGACTTTTTTACATATAGCAGCTATAATTGGAAATAGATTGGAATTGTAGTTGAAAAACTAATTTCAGTAGGAGATTTTTTAAAATAGACAAAAACGAGACACATTTTATTCAGAGATTGGTACACATTTATTTATCCTTTTTTCCTGTATCAGACAGTCTTAAAGAAGCATACAAAAATGAAGAAACGGAGGCTCTTAGTAGATCGGAGATACCTAGATTTTACATTCTTCTTGTTCGTTTGTGTTCTTCTTTTTCTTCTTCTTCCTCTTCTTCTGCTTGTTGTTCGGTGTTCCTCTTCCTTTTCATTTGTCAGCGTGCGCAGGCAGGCGATGATTCACAGGAAATCTACGCGCTTAATTACGTGCTAAAACCGTGTCCGCATACTTCTTTCTCTTTCTTTAATTACGTTCGTTAAATATCACTTACAAAGAGAGAACATAAATGGTAAAGATCACAGAATTTTCACGAATCCTATGTGAACATGAATCGTGCGTCGGTTTGTCCAAAAATTCTGTAATACGACCGATACTGCTTCGTGCCTTTGGGTAAAACGGTTCAGAAAAAAGCCGATTCGAAAAATATTCCGACGCTTTGAGAGGATGGCTGCGGGTGGGGAAGGGATATTTTTGAGATGATCGGTGGAGTGTGCACACGTGGATGCATGTATATGTGGGCGTAGTGCGTTTCTATCTCCGCGGATTGACTTTCTGCGATTGCTTCAAATTTCCTTTCTCTGGCCGCCCCGATACAATTTTTTTCATTTTCTCTTTCCTTTCTTTCTTTTTCCTTTGCACGCAAAACGAAAGCTTAGCCGCTAAATATCTCGAGGGACGACTCGATCGTGGTTCGTTTGGAAACTCGTTTACACGATGCTGCTGCATACAAGAGAACAAGGACGAAAAGTAAAGAGAGACAGCACACACGATTTGAAAGGAACATCTCGAGATTGGACAGTACGGACAGGTGTACTCGATCAGAGAAAAGATCAGCTTCGCGCCTATTTTGTCGCGTGAAAAGAGGAGAAGGATGGAGATCATGGGCGAGGGGTTTGAGAAAGGAGGGGGGGAGGGAAGAGGATATTTATATTTATAAAACGGCTAAGGATAAAACATGCACTGTATATCTGTCCATCTGATTAACTGCTTGCACATTTTCATTCTTAATCATTCCCCTTCTTTTCTCCAATCTTTTTTCCCCTCTCTTCAGCTTTTGTCTAACGTTCGTGTTCTTGGTTTGTTCCTTTCTCCCGACTTTCCATTCGTTCAAGTAACAGTAACCTAACGCACGGGACGAGTGCTTGAATTCATATTATTTTTTCTTTTTTACATTCCCTCCTTCTCTCATCGAACCTACGTATTTATCGTCCTTTCTTCTCTCTTTTTTTTTGTTTGTTCTTTTATTCATTTGTCGTTTACTTCTCTTTAGTGGAGTTCGTTTATAAATATCCAAAGATTACTTGGGCTCTCATTTAATATTGTTTTTTTTTGTTTGTTTTACTTCCTCGCTTAATTTATTTACACATTAACTAATTACGCTTGGGACTTAAGTTAAATCGCGTCACGCGTCCGCCATCACGATAATAGTCACTGTAATATCCACTACTTACTAATAACTTGTCTTATCTAAATGTATTCTTTTCTGTTTTCACATCGATCGTCTCGGTCGCCTCCTTCTTGTTCTCTCTCTCTCTCTCTGCCCCTTTCGTTCTTTACCTCTTTCTCTCATTTCCTCATGCACACATAATTCTCTCTCTCTCGCTCTCTCTCTCTCTCTCTTTTCCATTTACATTACAACGTGTTCAACATGTACAAAGCCCTATTTACATTATGTACACCTCATTTCGAGAATTTCTCAATGATAATGCTTCTATCTCTGTCACTCTCCTCTTTCGCACGCAACAATCTCTTAAACCAGTGCGTCTTCTTTCCTTTCTGTGGCCGCCGGTTACGCCGTTGTCGATGCTTAGAAAGTAAAGAAGAAAAAAAAAAAGAAAAGGAATAAAGGAAAGACAAACAGAAAAGAATGAAAAAGAAGACAGACGGAAAATTACGTAAATTCGTAAATCGATTGCCTATTCACCAGGCACGTTTGCGCTCGAAGTTGTTCCCGTCTACTTGGCTCGTACACCTTTTATTTTATCTCTTTCAATTACGATAAGTCGAACGGATGGAATGTAGCTGCGTTTACGATTATATCCGATAATAGTCGTTCCGTGGGCAAGACCTTTCGCTTGTACAAAAATTCATAGAACTAAGCCCCGCCGCGTCGTGGACAGAGCGTTGGAGGACGTTCGCGAGACGCGACGACACAATCGTCGAGGGATACAAAAACCTTTCGCCCCGAGAAATACTTTGGAATCACGGGATTTAACAATCGTGTTTCGAAAAATGTAACATGCGCTTCCGTGATTCGCGTTCACCGGAGCGCGCGTCGGGAAATAAAATCTTAACGAGTTAAAACGTACAACGTCGTCGCGCACCGTAACGTACCGTAAAATTTGTTAAAGTTTAAGAGCAACCGCACCAGAGTTTTAAACGTGAAACAACGCGAGTCCAATCTTCATTTCTGATATCGTTCAAGCTTGTCCGTGTATCTCGATTGCGATTCGATACAGTTTGATTTTTGCGATACTCGGTGCGTTGCTCTGTAATTGACGGAAAATGATATCTCGCGGTTGATTGTTGCTTATCGTGACGACGAAGGAATGTAAAAGTGGAACGAAAAGATGTCGAAGAAAGCGTGCGGTTCCGATGGCTGTTGTTCAACGGCAACGATTCGATACGCGACGACCGAGAAACGCGCGTACAGAGTTCACGTATTTATTCGCTACGGGCAAGAAACGAGACGGCAGAATTTTCATGGCATTGGAAATTATATACATATACTCGATAGGGTTACACATTTTCGTTCTACCTTTAACATCGTGGACAAAAACGGTTTTCAGATGCTTGACTGTCGTCTCAAGCTACGCTTGTGCGAAGGGTCTTCTAAACAGGAAAAACCAAGATAACCGCGAACGGGTTTTCACGCGATGCCAGAGTGAGCAATTACGTTTCATAGAAATCGGAGGAAACGTTCGTAACGCTTAATATAGCTACGCTGGTACCCTTAAAACGCTGTTTATCGCTATTTTAATAATTCGCCTATAGATTTATTCGTCTTAACGTACGATTTGCCGGAGAGAAGGATCACGGCCGGCCCGGCTGAGCAGAGAAATAAATTAAAGAAAAAGGAAACGACGAAACGCTGTTCAACCGAGAGAAAGACTATATTGAATTCACTGTGTTCGCGTGCGCCCTTTCTCGTTTAGGCAAATTTAAACTTCCATCGATTTAAACATAATTTAACAGGCTTCCGTTCGCGTACAACCGTAATAACACAATTAAAGAACAAAAGCTTGGTAAAAGAAGAACCTTGTCTCGTCAATTAGTCAATCCAACATATCTTTCTCCAGTCGGAAATGGAGAAGTTAGATGAGGAAGTCGGATGTTCAGGGAAACGAACATCGAGCCATTGGTGACGTGTTTCAGAGCTCGACGTTCGTTCGTCTAATATATACGCTTACGCTCGTCGACGATGGATCTTCTTTGCAAGCAGAAAATGTCGTCTATCGATTCGACCACCGAACGACGGCGATTCGTTCGATCTATCTCGTTTCGATACGATCATCTTCGATCCGTAATTACGTCCGAACGATCGCGCGTCACCGATCGTCGATCTCGACACGACCGCTAATTACACATTAGATAACACTCACGGATGATAAAAAATAAATAGCGCGCGGGTTCCCTTAGTTACATATTAGATTACGCGGTTACGACATATACCTTTTTGTTCTTTAAAAAATAGTAAAAAACAGTGACTAAGTTTTTTTCGCTTTTTCCACGTCGCTCGGAAAATCGCTTTGTATCACTATATATATATATTTATATTTATATATATATATATATATACTTGTTTCTTACAACTCTCACCCACCTTCTCTCTCTTTCTCTCTTTCTCTCCTCGTATTTTCTATATATATGTATATATATAAATATAATATCGTTACTGTATACATACATATACATTTATATATATATATATAATTTTTTTTATTTATAAAAATAACATTCTGGGACTAAAACGTAACGTTCCAAAGCAATATACATTGAGGAGCTGGCTGGGACGACCGATAAAGGTACTTTTAACCGCTGACTTTACCTTTCCCCGGGAGGAAATTTCAAGTTTTCAATCATCGAAACTCGCTCGAAACGAACACGCGCGCCCCTTTCTTCTCCGGAACTCGAAGATCCTTTTTCCTTCTATCTCGCGAAGATACTGTCTGCATCTTTTGACAGATCGTGTCGCACGGAATTTTTCACGAAAGCAGTCTTAAGACTTTAGAAGTAACTCTACGATGCGACTAATGTAACGCGATAATGATTAATCGAAGTAAGCGTTGATCGATTATTAAGTAACTTTAGTTTTCTTCTACGTTCCGTGGCGAGGTCGGTTATCGATCAGCGCACCTGCGATATGTCGCTGCTCTCCGGTTCGATGAAAGCGGAGACGTTTGCAAGGGAACACGGGCTTCAGATCCCTTTATCGAGTCGTCGCCGATTTCCTTCGGGGATTCAAATCGAATTCTCGTCGGTTCGACACTCGTTAACGAACGATTTTCACGCCCCCGCGGCCAAACCTTTTCCCATTCGATCTCGATATGTCTGTTATTTTTCATATTATCCACGAATCACTTTCGTTAACGAGCAAAGCCAGCATCGACGAAACGATCGAGCAGAAAATCTTCTCTCGATTTGTCAACGCGTACGAGAACAGGCTTCGAGGATACAATCGACAACGAACGAGAACATCGTGCTGAAGAACGCAAGGAAATTAATTCGCTCTGATATCGTTACACTTACTTACGAGCGTATATACGATAACTTCTCGTTCGGGTCGTTTACAATCCGCACGTGTACCTCGAAACCTCGAGCTCTGTAAGCGCTCTCCTAGCAAAATCTTAGCGATCTAAGAGGACTCGTCACGTTTTATCGTTTTCCGTACGACATCGTATTTTCCACTCTGTCAGTGAGCCAATCCCGAAAAGCCGAGCACAGCTTCGACGGTACAACGACGATCGATTAACTTCAACAAGAGGTCCATATCGAATAATTCACGCTATCGTACACAGATCTTCGACGTTTCGTCACACATTCGCACGGTTCTAGTTCTGGAGACGACAGACACGTCCGTTTCGCGTGGACTTCCGCCATTGGTTGCACGCAATTCCCGAGTAAACGGATATGGAAACACAACAAAGGAGGTTCGGGGCCATCTTCGTAGATCGGCCCGCTTATGGCTATAGAACGCGGCAATCATCGGGCTCCAGGTCGATCGGTCGCGTTCATGTTTGAGCTAGTGACGCGTTGTCGTCGTTCGCAACTCGTTCATCCGGTCGAACGTAGCTCGAGACGCGTCGGTTGTTCCGGAGTGATGGTTTTCTTCAGTGAGGAACCGCCATACACGTCGCGTTAAACGGAAGATCGCCATCGTCGTAGTCATCGACGATATCTCTAACTTGGCGTGTTGAGGACGCGACCCTATAACATTCACGAACTACGCGTTGCTTCGATCGTTCCTCCGTCGATGGCCACGAAACGCGGCGTCTCGACCGCAAGGAGCGCATCCATCGTCCTCGTGCAGGAAGACGAAGAGGACGACAGGATCCTGCCAGTGGAGAGCGTTCTAACACTCGCTGTAGGAAGGCGGTGGCATTCCGCGCCCGGTATACATGTCCGTTTGCGGCTGAAGATGACAGACGACCGTGTGTCCATCTAGAACCGCGACTGTTCTCGTGTGATCTGGCTGAGGCGGTATACCGTAACTGGCCGGAAGTCGAGGCAGCTCGCCACGTTCGTACCATGCTTGCTGCTTTCGTAGCTTCTCCCAGCAAGTGTTCAGGGTCCTCTCGAACGCAGGACTGTACTCTGACGCGTCGCAATGGATATTTCCTCCGCCGCCACGGTCCGTCAACGTTTGCCCGTAATGCATCAGATTTCTATCGGTGGCCGGCGAGTATGGGATCAGCGGTCTGTGATCACCGTAACTTCTCGACGATTGTCTGCTCATGTCGCTTTGCCTTCTGCCGTCCTCGTCGG